AAGTGTATCTGCTGATTCCCCAATGACTGATCAGCATATACCATATCAGAACTGAAGCTAGCACCCAGTACACACTTGTCATGGAAGCTGCCCTGTGGAAGAGTCCATTTCCGCACTGGGCAACACTATTTCTCACATTGGGTTTAACTTTCTGCAGCTCTTCAGCAAGTAGGCAAGCGGCTTGCAGATATACAACCCAGTAATGCATATTGTCGTTAAATGAATCCAGGGTTGCTCGCTGGCGACCATCCTGGATCCTACGTTGGGGTTCGGCCTCCTTCTTGCTGTGGCCATACATACCCACACACATATTCCCTGTTCGAAAATCTCGGGAAATTCCTGGCACAAGTCTGTCGCCAAAGTCTATGGGGAGTAGATTTTCCTCTGGGCGGCTGCTTGCCGAACAGCCCCGCAGGCGATCGTTGTCGCTCGTGCTTGCATGTCCTCGACGTTTATAACCTCACGCGAATCGAACAGCACGTCGAGCGTGGTCTTGGCCGACATAAGCAACAAGCTTAGCAGATTCTTCCAAATACTCGTGAGCAACTCGGTATATTGACATCGAGGTAGGTATGCTCCCTGAGGCCCTTTTCACCCTCCGCAAGATTAATAACATCGTCTGCGTCCCTTTCTGGCTCTCTTCTAAATGACTTGTCGACATATCCATTCCCAAAGGCATCAGTATGAATGGGTAGTTTTGAGCAAGTAAACCACGCTCTGTATAAAAGAAACTGTGCTTTTGCTCATGTGAGTTGATCTTGAATTGAAGACGAGGTTGAGGGTGATGAGGGGATCATGCTTCCAAGCCGCTGCCAGAGCATCCCGAAGACTTGTTCCCCTAATGGCGTCTTTTAACCTGGAAAAAGGAAGAACAAAGATCGGTCAACACATATGTTACTCTTTTATTGATAAAGTTTTTTGTCTCTGTCAGCATTTCAAGTTTCCTTGTTGGGCGTATTCTTCGTGTTGGCCGCAACGACTCCTTGACTGACTTGAGATTCTACGTATGGCCAAGTATCTCTCCTGGCCATTGCGATCTCTTGTAGAAAATTTCCCAGATCACTTATAGAAGGTCCGCTAACCATTGCTGTGGCCTATCCTCACCTGCCATTTCGAAGACTTTCTTGAACTCGAGACAATGCAAGATTGCAAACGGAGATCTGTGGTTATAGGCCATCAGCCAAGTGACACGACGAGAGAAAGAAGGACTGACGCAATCAAACGACGGAAAATCCAAATAAATTAGCGCTTCCTTGGATGATTTCCAAAAGACTGGATTAGTCTCATCCAGGGAAATCCATGCTGTGATGTGGTTTGACTGGGCAATGCAATTCAAAGGCGCAGTGAATGGAGCAAGGCTTGCAGGTCGAGACCTACCAATCGGCGAACCCCCAATTAACGATCCGGCATCCAAATGGTTCGGCGGTGACTTAGTAGAAGATACCTCAGCAAATACCTCGGGTAGGTGATATTGGCAAATGACTTCACCTCCAGGGGTTTCGCCTTGGGCTGCATTTGTCAATCAAGCAATTTACGGGTAATACTGCCAGTCACCGCCACTTGCCAAGCAGTTGACGATGAGGTGTTGCTAGATTGCGATTCGGTTCGATTTTGATCAAACGGAATGATTTGCGAGGTTGCTGACGGTATCTAAAAATTACATAGAAGCGGCAGTGACTATTCAATGTGCCAGTGCCGCCATGTTGGTGGCACATTTGCCAATGAGGATGAAAGAGTATAACTTTTTCCAGTCGGCTATGTTGGCAGCATATACCATAATAATCGCTTTCTTTCTAATCGGGGAAATGCAACGTACGGGCTTGTGACTCAACGTGCGCCTTCTTTAACCATCCACATGTCTGTAGGAGACAAACCTTGGGATGGGATCCGCATTCCGCGCCCTCGCCGATGACTCTTCCTTCTCCCTTTTGCCAAAGATAAAAAAAAGAAAAAAAGAAAAAAAAGAGGCTGAAAGGGAGTGGCTGCTATGAGATAAAGTAAAAGAGCATTTCAACTATAAACCATTTAGATGCAACAAACCAACTACAAAATACAGTCGCCATGCCCCCCAGTACGCTCGAGATATGTGTTGTACCCCCTCTCATCTAGTATTTACAGTCGATATGTCAAAGTCTCTAGAAGCTGCTGTTCTTCCTGAGTAAGAAACATATGCTCCGGAACAACCACTTCTCCTCGTCTAATGACAACTTCCCCGGCATGTTGATGAGCGTGAGTGAACTTCACGCCCATGCCTCCGGTCTGATCCCTGTCGCTGGACTCGGCGTCATCCTCGCTACCATCGACGGTCGGCTTTTTAGGAGTGACTGCCGGTGCTGGCGCCGTAGGGCTGTCTAGTGTTTTTTCTTCGTCTATAGCGACCTTCTCCAATTCGGCTGAATGTCGTCTACGTAGTATGGATCTTCTTCCTTTACCCAGGTCTTCAGGTGTCCACCAGTATATTGGGAAACGTCTTTCCAAGTTATTGACCAGTAGCGCCACACCAAGCATAAGCGCACATCCCAGCAGCATAACCGGGAGCATGAACCATCCGATGTGAATCAAGGCATCATCAACAACGGCGAGCAACGCCGTGGCGCCTGCAGGTGGGTGTACAGTCTTGGTCAAAGCCATCAGAGAAGTTGCGCAGGCGCAAGCAAGAGCTCCTCCAACCCATTGAATGTCCTTGAAGCTATCACTCAGCTGGAAGAGCTTACCGATGGCAATCCCAACGAATGCCGAGATGAATTGTCCCATGATGGCGTTTCGAGGTTGGGCAAGCGGCGATTCGATGGCATAAAACTCCAGAACCGCAGCCGCACCCTGTCGTGGCCATGGAATTATTAGTGTCTGCCTCATGGAGCAAGACTGGCACGAAGACTTACAAAACTGCCCACAATCACGGGGGCTCCTCGCGCCTGGAATGACGGCACTCGCTTTGACACGGCTTGTATCGTGAGAATAGCCGCAAAAACGCCAATAAAGGCCCAGAAAACGGGCATCAGGTTACCAGTATCCTTCGGCTTCGCCTTACGGTATCCGAACCACCGTGCCACGGGGTAGGGCAGGAAACGCCATGGCGGCGACGGCACGAACGGATCAAGGAATCGATCGATGTCGAAGTTCCACGTCCTGTGAGGCAGAGTCATGGCGTCGGCGACGGCCTCGCAGGCTCCGAACAGGCAGCCGAAGGAACGGAACACACACACAGAGTTGGAGCGTTCGGATTGTGTAGCAGGTCAGCGGAAGTCGTCGTGTTGCATGACGATGGTTGGGACAATGTCGCTCTTCACGAGATCTTACAAAGGAGAGAAGTCGTGGGCTCGTGAGGACTCGCGGAGAGGGAAAGCCAGCCATCCGGTCGTCTCCATCCGGGCGTGTACGGGAACAAGAACTACCGCCACATTTCCCTTTCCCAAGCGCACGGCGTCGCCCGCTGGAGAGAGCATTTTCACTTTCAATGTTCGTTCCAATACGGAGTACCGGAGTTCCTGCCACAGTAGACATTGAGTAACGTAACAAGAACCCAAATTAGGCTTAGGGGGCGGGAAGGGCAAATGCTGGTCCAGGCTGGGGGAAAGGTGGGGTTCCTCGGTGCCATGTCTAGAGTGAAAGCCCTTTGACCAGTCCCGAGACTACCACTGGTCCACTTTTTTGACAGGTACGGAGCACTTGGTACTCAAAATCAAGTACCTCGGCGGCGTTGGCTCGGGAATCGGCATCATCTTGGGGCGATTACATTTCACTCTGGAACCTTCGTTCATCCATCATGCAGAACAATTGTTGTCCCATCACAACATGCATTCCGGGAACGCAACCTGCAGCCCTACGGCGTGCTGGCACGCGCTGATGCTACCACGGCGCCATTGGGATGGCACCCAAAGCCAACTTGATTGGCAGCAAAGCACCGCTTGGTTCCCAATTTCTTACCATGTCCCAATGCTGTGTTACCCGAATCCAACAACGCCAACTTGACGTATCACTCCATCGCCGTCTTTCGTTCCCCGTACCAGACCCCTTCTCATCATGAGAATAACGCAGTTTGCGCATTTCCAAAGCGTTACGCAAAGTAGCGGCCAACATTTCCCGACGCTGACGTGAGAGTTCAACCAAAACTAAATGCTGTCAAATCACAAATCTCACGCAGACACTGTCTCGCTATCAATGCATTTAGGTGATTTCTTCAGTGCGAGTCAATGTTGAGCCTTTCGACACAGCACAACTAGGACGGACGGACGCTGCACAGCTGCCAACCAAAAACTACAGGAAATCGCCGAGCAAGTAGCCGCAACTGTGCTTTGTGCCGGAGAGAACAACCATGGGTTTTCACAGTCGACATGACGGCGGGTTGGTGGAAGACGTAGAAACTCCATGCGTCGTGTCAGCCCGTCATCACAACAAAAACGTAAACGCTGTACAGCTTTCCATGAAATCGTAAAAGCCGAAGTTTCATTGCATCGTATTTCAGCAGAATAAGTAATGACCCTGGATACCACTCAACTTGTTCTGGGATTCAAGACGCGGTGGCACCATATGTTCAACTCGTGTTGGTGGTTGCGGCCCGTGGAGTAACTATTGGTTAGTGAGCAACCAAATTCTTCCGCAGCTCAAACCCTCGAGCTGTTGAACAATCTAGTCGCAGGTTTAGATCATATTGCCCGTGTTAGTTTTACTTGTTGCCGGTGCCCGTCGGACAACAGCGCGGCCTTGGCAGTCTGCTTCGGCATCAACAGGCATGCCTCGACTTCACCCAGAGTTCAGCACAACACCTCGCAACCACAGCTAAACATCACATGGCTGGTTTGGTATAAATTTCGAATAATCTTTATCTCATTACCTTGACTCACACGGTTTAATACCAAGGTTTCCAATCACTAGACATTAGTCAAAGGGCATGTCCTGTTTCTTCCTCTTTGCAGCTGGTCAATTATTCCCACTAGTGGCACACTTTACAACTTCAACTCTCGATTTCCGACTTTATGGAGGTGCCATCTGGCAAAACAATGCAGACCATGGAAGCAACCGAGCGACCCAGCCCCATCAAGGGGCCTGTGTTCTGGACTCCGCCATCCGAAGTAGATGCTTGGAACATCGCCTTGCCCGGTGACGATCTCTTCAACGCAGACGCGACACAGGAGCCGTCCACTCTGCCGAATCAAGGGTATATTCCAAAGTACCACGACGATATCAAGTGCATTGATTCTCCGCGTGTGTACGTATCCTGCTCACCAAGTGCCGGTAAACCAGGGCCACAGAGTCGCCGAGTAATACTCGACGACTTACCGAGTGACGTTACCACACCCCAGGTTCTCCGGAGCATCAGATGTTTTGGAGGGGTCATTTCCGCAGTCCTGACCAACAGTCTGAAGAAAGCAAACCCTAGAACAAAGACGGCAATCATTGAGTTTGTTTACCCCGAGGCAGCCGCGGACGTCGTTTCTCACTTTCACAGTAAAAAGACGGTGTTTCTCGACAGCAAGGGTGGTGAACATCAACCAGAGGTATACATGATTCCCACACCATCTTACTTTCATACCGAGGCGAACCACTGTCTGCTCGACAGAGGCTGCACCCGTGCCCTGTTCATACCCAGCTTCCCAGAAGAAGCTATTTGGTGCCTGCTCTGCACCATTGGAACAAAACACGTCAACATTGTCCAACTATCAGAGGGTCACCTAACCATAGAACTTACATCGCTATTTGCAGCGGACAGGGCCGAAAAACAAATCAGGTCCGGGGACGCCGCCTTGGGGTACGACGCAACCGAGCAGGGCATGTGCTACATTCCCGATTCTTCGCAGGGCGTGATGCAGGACAACTACGACTCCCACAACGGATTCATCGCATTCGCCGACGCGGATATCTTGCAGACAACATGGGATCGGGAGCCGTACAACAGATGCCGCACGCAACCCCTCCATGGCACTCCCACCGCCAAGGACGCCATCGGGCACCCCCCGAAACCTACGCACGAGGAAATCCTCGCCGAGTACTTCTCCGTTGACCCCTCCGAGATATGGAGCTACCTCGAAGACCGCAGGTCGTTCCAGGACACCACGTACAACATCGTCGGGAGCACCATTAAACTCACCCGTCACAAGTGGAGTTGGAGCATCAGCGCCGAAGACGACCTTAAACTCCTAATGGCGAATACCCTGCACGACCCGGACTGGGCAACTGAATGGGACGAGTACTTCAAAGCCAGGGGCATGGTCAATTTGCGAACGTGGGAGGAATACGGCCTGTTGGCGAAGCACCGACGAGAGCGTGCTGCCGAGCAGGGCTTGGCCAAAGGCACGGTACCAATCTGTGATGAGTGCTCTTGGGGTTGCGGGCATTTGAAGAACGTGCCCGTTTCGAGGCTTATTCGGGATTATTCTGTCTGTAAAGGCGTGAATTCTGAAGGGAAGTGAACACTTGGGGTGATTAATTCCGGTTAATGCGAGATAAGAACATTATGCTTTTGCTTGGATTAGGAAAACGGTACAACAGTCCAGAGTCATTGCTACCTAGTAAGTAGTCCATTTGGGAGAGCGTATGATGAATTGGGCATTTGCTAGGAACGAATAGAAATGGGCATGGCTGATGAAGACTCAATGGGCTATTTTAGTTCTTTTCTTTTTCTTTTTGCTGGAACAAGGTTCGTTACGCGGAGTTGAGTTCAGAGAGTTCTAATCAGTGCTTATTATCTCATATTCCATTCGGCTATGTGATGCTATTGATGTTACACATTATCATCGTATTACAACAGACTCCGTATTATACAATACCGGGCGTTTTCTCGAAGCATCGTCCTTTCCCCTTACCAGCCGAGTGCTTTCTTAGCACCTCATATTTCCAGCCCAAGATTGCAAATCTAAACGTCGTCTTCGGAATTTCCCTCATACCCAGATGACTATAACGTCCTTTTTAATAAACACCAAACGCCGGAGGTAATGCCGCGGATGCTTTCTCCCGCAAGTCCCTTCTTGTCTCAGATTCCTCCTCACAGACGAACGCCTCATCGTCCAAATCATCCTCAACAAATAAGCTACCCTCTTCCCCGATTGCATGGGGCTCGTCAACAAGCAGGTCACCAACTCCTTGGTCTTCCGTCTGGCACATTTCGTTGACAGAGCCAGTAGATGTGGCGTTCCCGTTGCCCCATCCAACTCTTTCCGGTGGTTCTCGTTGACGCCGATTCTGGGAGGCAAGCTTGGCTCTCCTCTTCTTATCCATCTTGAAGTAGTTTCGAACCAGACTTCGCGGGATATTACCTTCTGGCTCCCAGGATGTTTGCTGGTCGGGTGGCCAATCACCCGCCCAGCGAACGAGGAAGTATCTCATGAGCCCCTGACCCTCAACATCGTAAAGCGCCACATCCTCTAACCTTTCCACTTCCCAAGTTGGCTCTCCATCTTCCCTAATCTTTTCGATAAGTGGTGATTCTTCGCGTCTCTTTTTGGCGGATTTGGGCCTTGTCGACTTATTGGCGGGACTAGTAGCCTGGATAGTAGTAGGGGTGCGTGCTGCATTGTCTCTAGTTGACTCTCGTGTGTTGGACATGTTCGGAAAGCTTAAACTACCGGTAACGGCGTTAGGGAAGACAGCACTGGAGGAAGTGGTTCCTTCGACAGAGGCTACTAAATCAGTGTGGCCGGGATGTTGCGAAGCATCGTCCGCCTTTAACATCGGGGTTGGTGCTGGTTTTGGTTCTATTGACGAAGTCGCATATCCCAAAATCCCGTTTATGTACGACGGCAAGGGAACAGGTGTATTTATATTGGGCCTTTTAGGTTTCTGTGCGCCATCGCTGTCCACCGTAGCACTCACGAATTCAAGACGCATGCCCTCATTTCCAAGCCCAGCAGAAGGCACATCCCACGAGTCCTCACGGCCATCTTCCCCAAACATTTCGCGGGCAAGTTGATTCGACGGGCTGTTTTCGTTGTCGGAAAGACCCTCAAAGTCTGCCAATTTGCGCTTCTGCGGGGTAGACAAGCTGATCGCTCCCATCTTAGGGCGAACGACATCTTCGGCTTCGGTCTCGGGCTCAATAGCAGCTGCTGGCTCGATAGCGGTGTGGGTTGGGGGACGGGCTTTGTGTTTCTGTTTCAACCCCTCGGAGCCTATCTTCTTCTCTTCCGCCAATTTGATCCGTTCCTGATCTAATTCTCCTTCAAGGGTCTCTTCCCATTCCTCCAACGTTCTAGGGGATACGTAGTCGAGAATTTCCATAGCAGGGACAAGCAGGCTCGCGGCAGGAAGATCGTGCCACCCAACTATATACGTCATTCGCTTAGGTAATGGTTTGCCGTCAGCTGCCAGACCAGGCGAAGGCAAGAGAATCCGTTCGACTATGTATGCGCTGGGTGACGCGGGCGGCAGTAGCCTTAGGGGCTGTAGCGCCGGGCCACATCCTGGGGTATATTTCGGCGGTGGTTTGATTTCTATCACAAGTGTCGGTTTTTTCGATGTCGGCTCTGGTGACGGTGTCGCTGATGCGGATGACTGAGGCTCTTCGTCCGAGCTGGCTATGACCAGCGTGGTTTCCATTCTTGTAGTGTGATAGGCATCCTTGTGCTCGAGCGCTCTTAGTAGCCCAGGGTAAGAAGGGATTCCTGAGCTGAGCTTCACAGGTTTGAGAAGCCAGAATTGCGCGTTTCCCCCCTTCTTTTTTTGAGAGATGAAGAGCGTGTCTAACCTTGGCGCGAGCAATGTGCAGGCACGGGGCCAAGGGCAGATATCGCAAGCGCTTTGATGTCGATAAACCAGGAAGTGGTCGTAGTTAGGTTAGCAATTGTCCGGCACCGGCCGCATTCGTCAGGCAGCACTTGAGAGCTTTAACAGGTGACTAAGCCCAATCATCCCAGCCAATAAATTCAAGTCGCCTCGCAAAACCTCACCAGTACTTGGTTGGGGGAACAAGACCTCACGCAGCAGGCTATTCTCAGGCTATTTAGAGACTTCTAACAACTAGAAGCCAGAGTCTAAGTCACTAGACGGTAGGGCAAGAAAACAGCAAATTAAACCCTGTACAGACCATGGGTTTTTTTTTCTTCTTCTTTTTTTTTAAATGACAGGGAGAGGAGCCCTTAAAGTTGCGTCTTGTCGGTGGCCTTGGCACCTGTAACGACTGCATGAGCGCCCGGCACTCTCTAGTCCCCAGTGGCGCACCACATGCAGACAGTGCAAGCTTGAGCAGCCAGTCGCGCCTGGCGGCTAGCAAATCGGCATGCTGCAGCTCGTGCGTTTCCCAACCAAGCGACCAGCATTTTCTCCAACTTTTCCCCCAGATCACGAGTGCCAGCAAAAGCTCCCTCCTAAACCCCCCAGCTTGAATGCCGGCCAAACCACTATCAATGCTGCAACAGAGCACTTGACGGGCGTATTCATATTCCCACCATGTCTTCGTCTCTGAAAAGTCTGGCTCTGCGCGTGCCCAGAGCAACTTCCAGCAAGTCTCATACGGCAATTATCCGATGCTGCTCGAAAGCTTCCATGTCGACCGCCGCTCGACCGGCCTGCCTCACAAAAGCCGCTCCCTTGCAACCGAGTAGCTATGCCATATCCATGAAATCACACAGCTACGGCCTTGCTGAGTCGAGCAAATCCGTGCTTCGACTTGTTCCCAGGGCCCGCACGACCTCACCCATGACCATTGCCTCGCAGGCTCGATGCTTTGCCAGTGCCGCCTCGTCAACGTCGAGCTCGGGGACTTCGTCGGGTGCTGCTGCCGCTACATCCAAGTCCACTCTAGACTGGGACTCTTTCTTCAAGTTGCGACTTCGCCGTCGACGTATCCAGCTGTTCTTCTCCGCGACGACGGGCTTGCTTGGTGGTGCCGGTGGTGCCATTCTGCTGTCTACGGGCATGGCGGAGCCTGTGGTGATGCAAATTCCTCTGGACCCCTTCGTCACACTAGGTCTAATGACGCTGGCTTGTGCTGCCATGGGGTGGCTCGTGGGCCCCAGCATTGGAAACCAGGTGTTTTACCTTCTCAACCACCGCCTGAAGGCCCAAATGATGAGCAAGGAGACGGAGTTTTTTGCGAGGGTGAAGAAAAACCGAGTCGATCCTACCAACTCCAGTGCAGGTAATCCAGGTACGATCTGGCACATTTACCTGTTTAAGGATTCCGTCGAGAATTATAATCTAATCATTCTGTAGTTCCCGATTTCTACGGCGAAAAGATCCAAAGCGTCTCCGGATACCGACAATGGCTCAAGGACCAGCGGGCCTTCAACAAGAAGAAGACCAGGGCGTTTGTGTAAACTCCTGCTTTACGCTAAGAACTCCATTTGTTCAAGGTGGACTAGGGAGAAGGGAAAAACTTAACATGCGAAAGAAGGTAGTTGTGCCAACTACCTTAAGGTCCCCGGGGGGCCTTAAACCAGGAGACAAAATAATGTGCCCCAACTTTCGTTGTAGCAATATAGGAATATCTCATTATCGTGTATGCTTACTACTATTCCGTCCTACTTTTCAATGACTGGGCTCTCATTTTTTGTCTATGCTATTGTTTGTGTAGGCAAGGTTATTCAAAGAAACGGTAGTGAGTCATCAACAGCATCTTTCCACGACCGCAGCCCGCCCAAGATGTCTCCAACAAAACGTTGCCCACTTCGATCTAAACCCAGCTCCTTCAATTTTGCTACCGCAATTTGTGAATCGTTGCCGACCCGACACACAACATATATCGGCACATCGGCAGGCAAATCCGCGGGAATGCCCTCAGGCAGTGTCTCACCAGCACGATGACTCATAAACCGACTTATAGGAACGTTGATAGATCCAGGAATATGCGATAAGCTGTAGTGTTCCCTCGCCCTCACATCGACCAACACATGATTCGCGCCGCTCCTCGCAAGGCCCTGGTACGCTTCGGCCGTGACGCGGTCCTCCTCCCGCAGCAACTGCACCGGCCTCGTCACACCACAAAACTGCACATAATCCATGGACGACCTCAGGTGATCCAGCGTCAGCTGTGCGTTTTCGCCGCACGCAAAGCATTCTTTCCGTCTGCCTCTGATGCGGACCGATCTGAAGGGTGAACTATCCGCCATGCCACTGAAGAGCATCATCGTCTGTTGAATCTCTGGCGCGGCAGAGTCAGAGGCTTCCAGGCCGCCTCTGGAAATAAGTTTGATGGCTTCCAGCGCTTGCAGGACGCCCATGACGCCGACGACGGGGCCGACGATGCCGCCTTCGCCGCAGCCGACTACACTCTCGGGGGGAGGCGGCTTGGGGAACACGCAGCGGTAGCAGGGTCCCTTGCCAGCCGGACTGTTCAGCACAATGAGCTGTCCCGAAGTCTGGAATGCAGATGCGGACACGAGCGGCTTCCCCAGGAGGACGCAGATGTCAGATATGAGGTAGCGAGACGTCGGGTGGTCGGTGCAGTCAAGCACCACATCATACTGCGAAACAATGT